AAGAGGTCTTACAAGGGGCTAATTAGTGGTTTTGTGAAATCAAATTTAACAAAACGATATTCAGGATAGAAAAGCTCTCTTTGGCCTGGAACAAATTCATCAAGACCATCTTGCTCAGTGGTCAAGACTTTATTTTGTCTTTGTTGTGTTTGTTATTGTTCTGGTACGGTGAATTACGATTAAAAAGGATATTTCCAAGTTTTGTGCCATGACTCAGTGTGACTAAATCTATAAGCACAATATTGTTTTGAACAAAAGATTAAAAATCACACCAGGTTCCTGAAGGACAAGTTGTAGTGACAAATTGGAGTGAACCAGTTAGGAGATCTTAGTCCTGTCCCCAGATGGAATGGGCATTGAGATCAGTACCATCTTAAAATATTAAAATTTGATTTGAGATTCTCGCTAAAGCATAGGTTCACCACTGTAACATGGCTGCCTGAAGTCTGAAATAAAATTCTGTTTACTGTTTATACATGTTTCTGTCATCATGAAAGACCACATACAGGTTACTTGGTCAAATTGGTACCTAAACCTCTATACCTGTACCAGTACCTGTACCTACCAGTATTTGCAGCCCTATTGGTAAGGATACCACTACTTTAGGACTGTCTACAAAGACAAGAAGAGTAAAGGAGTCAGGTTCTCATGCCTATATTTGTAGGTAGTTTTAAAAACCATCAGGTGACACGAGTTTGTCTTTTGTTCCAGGTTGACGGCAGTTATGACATAAACCTGCTGTCCTACACCTGAGTGATGATGATGAGTACAGGGGATGAGAAAAGACATGCTGCTGGTTACCATAGTGACTCACTATGCAATATATAGTCCATATTGTACATACATGTTGTGTGAAATACTAGTATGTGTGTGTGTGTATTTCTGCACTGTAGTTTCTGTATGTTCTGACAGAGGGCGAGTGCATTGTTGAATGTTTTTCACTCCCTGGTTTGGGGTCCAACCTGTTATGTTTGATATATAATGTATGTAAAATATATAGCATCACTATTGTACAGATTTATGGATGTAAATATTTGAGTACCCCATGTGAATATCAATACAGAGTGTGTTGTATAGTAAATTATCTCTCCCTTACTTCACTTTCTGTACGATTTATGTAGAATTTTCAAGCAGACTGTGACAGGAACAACCACTGACAAGGCCCTAAGACATACTATTCCGCAACAAGATTGTACAGCAATCATGCTGCAAATGCAGCCGGGCCTTTCAATGGCTCACAGGGTGAAGTAGTGTGTGTGTACATGGTCCAAGTATCATTTCAAACCAGGACAGGCCTGGCTGCCATCACAGGTGCATGGTAACTTGTCAGACCCAATGCATAAAACTGGTGAAGCGCTGGGGCTGAGTTGTATAGACCCTGTTCATACCAGACTTATATTTAGCGGTTTCAACCGGTTTTTCAAAAACCGGTTTTTATTTAACCTGGTGTGAACGCAAATTAATCGGTTTTTTAGGGGTTTAAATCCGATTTTGAAAAACCACCTTGGGAGGTGGTTTTTGAGGGGTTTTTGTGGGGTTTTTCCACCGAAAAACCTGGTCTGAACGCTAAGGGTTTATTGAACCGGTTTTTGCGTCAAAATTCCGGGGTCACGGGGTCAGCATCCTGACCGTGTGCGACCTACAAGCTTTTTTGATCGCGTTGTTTTGACCAACTTGAGTCGTTTCCACTGTTTTTCCATGGTTTCTCTTCATTTTGCGATGGAATCAGCAAACGCAACCTGGTCGGCCGAGCCGCTCCTGATACTTAGGTTTGGAGAGCAGGAGTCGCCGAATTCGAAAAAGCTAGGGGGGGGGGGGGCGAGGGCTCTACCGCTCTACCGAAACAAAAATGTTGGAAGAGGCTGATTTCTTGAGGATAAAGGATCAGTGCCGCAGTAAGGTAAAAAAAAAACTGAAGACGGCATACAAGCAAGAAGGCCAAGGACAACAATCAGAAGAGCGGGAGGAACGGTTATTCAAACTGTAGTCATGGCCGGACAGGATTTTTTCAAAACCGGTTATCAAAAGTCTGGTATGAACGCTAAGGGTTTTAGCCGGGTTTTTGAAAAACCGGTTGAAACCGCTAAATATAAATCTGGTATGAACAGGGTCATAGTCTCCGGGCTCCTGGGATTCGAACCCAGGCCACTAGCTCACAAACGTAATAACTGCAAGGCTAAAAGGTCTGGACTGGTCTGTTGGTGGTGCTGGGACCCCATTACACTGCTACACTGGCACTGTGGTAGAATGTTTGGAGTTTGGCACTGTTAGTGTTAGTCTATAAGACTAGCTTGTCCCAGAAACTCTACAAACAGGTAAACACATGGAGAAAAGACTGTGTTTGTAGTAAGCAGAGAAGTGTGTGCAGTTATTCACTCAAGGGGAGCATACCCCGGTAAATCAACATTGTTTGCTTTCATGTGCCTCTTTGAATGCTTTCATGCTGCGATATGTTTGTGGTTGCAATACATACAGGATCCGGATATAATGTATTTTGTCACATGTACCCTCACTGTGACTCTCACTTGGTTTCAAATAAAGTTTATCTTATTTCTGTCTATTTTCAATGCAAATATACCATATATACCATATAACTATATGCAAACAGTACCAAACTTTATAACACCAGACGATCCCATGGAATGTGAACAGCTGCTTCAAATCAGGTGTAAACTAGCCGTTATGTGTTGGTTACCACAGGAATAAATCCGTATTATATCGAATTGCCAGAATCCTAGGTAGTAGCTGTTTTTCCTCTCAGTCTGTGCCTACTGTTTTGATGAATAGTTCCGAACTTGAAACTTGATAAATGGAAATCTTCAGCGTGTCGGTGAGCAACGCCCCTCGAAATTCCCGTTAACTTGTAATGCATGAAAGTGGTTTTAGCGTGGCCCCTACCAGGCCCCAGAAGCGGCTGGAGAAAGTAGAATGGGGAGAGTAGAAATTGGTCCATTTGCCAATTTATCCATTTGCAACTTTTATACATCATGAAAACGATTTTTCGCGATTTGCAATTGAGTGTTTTGTTACATCTTTAACACTTAATAAATGTTATAAAGGACAGCAACACTAACGCAGTTTTCATCCATCCCAACCCCAGCAGTTTCTGAAACAGCCCAGGGCGTTGCCATGTTGGACAAGTTAAACACAGAAACTGTTGTTGAAGTAAATATCAAACCAGGCGTGGACAAACAGATATTTGACAGGAAAAGGGCAGTCCTTTGTCGTACCTGTACCGGTTCTATAGACTGCTACAATGGGCTTCTCGTTCAAAGGTTGTTTTTCCTACTTTCCCGATGGTTGTGAATAGGGATA